TGATACTGCAATTAATGATGAAATTGCTAAAGAAGTTTTACTTGAATCCATTTTGGCAATAGGACCTGATGGCTTGAAATAGAATTCTGAAGATTTAATCTATCAACGGAAACTTTGAAAAAGGATCAATTTGTAATGGCCCTCTTGAAACTTCAATTTTTCGACATGTGTTATTTTGAGAATAACGTTTGTGAATTTCAAAAATAATTTTACAATATAAACTTAGTGTCTCAAGAATACATGAATAAGTTGTTCTTTGCTGTGCTACCTAATCCTTGGCCAAAAGTAGCAAAAAGATATTTTGATATCCTCCTCAACAAAAATCAATTTTTTGATGGATTAGGAGAAAGAATACAAGCAGTATGTTATGCCATGAGGAAGGCATGTACCGAACTCCAAGTTAGATAGGAAACCAAGAGGCCACCTTATCTTAACAAGAGTTGATGTCTCCAAATAAAATATGTTCCTGGCAAGCATGAATGTTCTAATGAATCAGAACAACCACCTAGGAATAACAAACATCAACGATATCCTCCTAAAAAGAGGACATTTAAAGGATATAGCAAAACGAGTTTCATAAGAGAGGATAGGTAAGATATAAGGGATTCTGATAAGCCCTCCAGGTTCATAAAAAGAAAAATGAATCTTAGATATAATGAAAGGATAGATGCTTTGAAAACAAAGTATGGAAGAGAACCGAAATGTCCCAAAGGAAAACCGTTGAGCTTAGAAAAGAACACAAAGCTAATACTTGTCCTCACGAGAAAATCTTTGAAGGATCTTGTCTGAAGGCAAATGATTAGCCAACAAGCACATGATGAAGATGAGTTGTCGAAGGTAGAGTCTGAGGTAACTTCAATCTGAGAGGTAGTGTCATAATATAAATCAGACACTGATGAAGATTTGTCGACATCCCAACTCTTCATTATGAATGAAGGGTTTAATCCCAATCGACAACACTTTGGTACATGAAGAATCCTTCACGTAGGACGATCAACTGATCATTTAGAGTGGAAGCTACCTGAATTATGCATTAATGCTATCTACACAAAAACATTATTTAACTTCAGATTGATAGTAAATGTTTTCCATTCAGAATCCGCCGTTAAGGTTTCTAGTACATAATTAGAAACATTAGATGTCCCTTTAATTAATAAGGAAAAAATTAGGGAAATGACGAAAAAGGCAAAGGGTGAATATATTTATATTCACATAGGATTAGTTCAAGTTGGACTAATACCATTATTCAATTTTCCTACGGATAGTCGTATGATAGTTGTTGTCCTTGATAAAGAATGGAAAGAATTCAATGATCAGCTAATATTTGGTTCAAACAAACTTGGCACATGGCCTTGTTTAGTTCCAAGCCTACCCAAATTATCTCATTGCTCCGAATAACAAGTGTCTAGGGAATTCATTAACTTTAAGAATGAAGTCCATGAAGATGGATAGAATGAACCCTGAGTCCAAATAATTGGCATATTATACTAAGTTGGTCTACCGCTTAGTTAACACTATAAACCCTAGTGTTAAGAATATCTCAAAAGTTACTGAGTTATTAGAAGAAGGGTCGGATGAAATAAACCATTTAGCATTGTCTTGGCTTAGGAACTGGGTGTATAGAGATCCCAGTGAAAGCTCACATTCACTTGGAACATCTCAGATCTGTCAACAAGGTTCTGAAATTTCTATTCATTTCAAAGAAGGTTTAATTCACCCGTATAGCCATAACTTTCACGGTTTTGACAAATATAGCCACTTTTTGAAAAATACACAGTTGTAGCCACATTTTGGAAACTTATTTGACAAAATTAGTCATTTCCATTTAAAACTTTAACACCGTTAGCAAGACACTGATGTGGATGCCACTTCACCTCCCACATCAGCTCCAACACATGTCCAACTAGACTCGCCATGCCAACTGGGTGCCACGTCAAATCAAAGTTTTTATTTTTTAAAAATATTATTATTATTATTATCTTTCTCTTTCTCTTTTGCACTCCACACCGTCCACTTCATCTCCCTCTCCAAAGCTTGGATTTCTTCCTTTGCTACTATCTCTCTCTTTGATTTTTGATTCCTTATGGAATGGATAATCGATGAGCAACAGATTCAGGGCGTTGTTCCTGGTTCCGCCGCCACTGTCGCCGTGGGATCCCTATCGAGGGGAGAACGACCCCTGTCCACCGAAGAAAGCAGGAAAGGATCTGAATCGGCCGTTCATAACCCGCTCGCAACTCCGACTCTGAAAATCATCTTATGGCGAAGACTTTAGAGATTCAGCAATGACGGAGAGAAACAGATACACGAACTCGTCGATAGCGACATAATGAACAAAGCCTGGCAAAGAAACGATGGCGATTAGGGTTCTTCAATTTTCGGATCTGTAATTTTTCAAAGGGGAAGTTCAATGGCGATTAGGGTTCTTCAATCTCTCGGTCAGGTATTTTCGTCGACGAGATGTAAGAGGTGAGGGGAGGCCAGATCAAGCAAGAGGAGGAGAGAAGAGGAGGAATCGCCGTCAGCCCCCTGTTGCCCACCGTCGTCGCTTTGTACTTCTCGCAGATCGACGAACTTTTTCAGCTCCGGACCACCACCGCCACCTCTCTTCTCCTTCTTCTCTTATGGGTCGTTGAGAAATGCATTTTCTTGTTCGTTGGGCTAATGGGAAAGAGCTTATGGGTGCAGCGATGGAGGATTGGCAGTGGTGAGAAGAAGAAGAAGAGGAAGGGAAGTCTTAGCGGCAGACAAAACATAAATTATAGGGTTTTCAGTTAATTAAAAGAAAAGGATAATTTTCACTGGCATTTTCTTTTATTATTTACTGTTTAGTTAATTAAAAAAACATGCCACGTCATCACTACCGTTAGTCCAGTCAGCATTCGCAGTTAGTCCGTTAAAGTTTTTGACGGAATGGCTATTTTAGTGTATTTTTCAAAAAGTGGCTATATTTGTCAAAATCGTGGAAGTTATGGCTATGCGGGTGAATTAAACCTTCAAAGAACCACGGTTGTCGCATTCTATGTCTGACCTTATACCTTATTCAATACCCAATCTCCCACCTATTAGAGGAATTGAACCATCAGGTCGAACAGTTCACTCCCTGTTGGTGTCAACATCATCCCGAAAATCAGTTGACTCTTCCCAATGGAACATTGGAGGTTATCGAGATATTGGTGTGGCAATTTTCAATAATGGTACAGAAAAACAACAAGGTACCAAGATGATGCACATAACTAATGAGGTTGGCATTCTGAGCACTTATATTAAGGTCAAATTCCATTTTCAAGGGTATTATCCATACATGCTCATACCCTAATAGATACAAGATGCACCACAAGCGGGGCTTGCCCCAATGCACTTCCTTAAGAATGGTGGAAATCATTACCAGCACCTGTAGCTATGAAAATGACAAATGGAGATGGTAACCGAATTACTCATTGTGTCTCGAATGTCCCAGTTGAAATTTCAGGCAAAACATTCACCATTAGAAAATTTTATGCTTTTCCTGAGCTTGATGTTGATTTTGTTCTCGACAATGCATTTTTAAAAGGGCTACATGAAAATCTACCTTGTATACAAAATGCTCATGATACCATTCCTAGTCTTTCCTCTCCTTAATTAAAACTAAAATTTGGGTTTTACTCGGCTAAAACTCCATCAATTGACCGTTTGACATCCTTTTCTCCTCCATTTTATGATTTCAGCTTGTAAATGTCTTCTTTTTCTCCTCTATGTCCATATGTCTCATTCTGTTATCTCTCGGGGGAAATTTTATGAGTCTGTAACACGTCGTGATATACCCTATATGAACCCAAAAATATTAGTTCTAATACGGTCCATTTAAATAATATATTGAGCCCGTGCACACACTCATAAATTTATACTTTGTACGATCCATTATATTGTACACCTGCTTGTAACTTATCGTACTAGCTAGTGGATGGTCCACCCAAAACTCATGTACGTATTAGCTTAGCTCGTGTGCAGTACGCCCAAAACACAGATATATGTCGACCTCTGGAGGTAGAGATAATAGGGTCAGGGTGGAAGATAGAAGAGAAAATTCATGTGACGATGCTGAGTACCAACCAGGCAGTAACACCCGATACCTTAATGGCATGTAGAGCCACGACAAGGGTAGATCTGCCGGCAGGCATGAATGATGAATTCAATATCAATGCGCACAAAACTCATTCATTTGGTATTATTGCGAAGCAGTAGTAATTAACCACCTGTCTGGCACATAAATTAGTTCTGCAAACTCTCTAGGAAATATGACTGAAAATCTTCATTGCACAAACCCAATCTGCACTTGGCTGTTTGATTTTTCTCCCTAGCTAATACATCTGGGAAAACAATCCTCCAACAGCTAATATGCCTTACAGGAACAAGGAACAAAATACAAGATGCTTTCCCTACAATGCCAAATGCCAGAGGCAAGTACTGACGGCAATAATACTTTCAAAATGCATTTGTTTTATCCCCTTTACCTTAGGATCAGCCTGCAGGCCTTCTTCGTTATCTCTTTCCCCAACCTGGTTCCATATGGCCCTACCAAACCCCACCTGCTATTATGGTGTTTTGGTTTAAAGAAATATGACAGATGTTGAAAGCAAAACTAACCTACTAACTGTATCAAAACTAAAATGACCAGAACAAGTCATGGCCAGCTGATCTCTTGCAATCTATGCACATATATCTACAGAGCAGGAAGGATGACGCGTATTTTACCTTAAGTGAGTAGCGGGTGGAAGAACCTGTCATCCAACAAGATATAATTTTTTAACCAGGAAAGAGACCGTTTGAAGTTTCACCATTGACATTTCTGAGGCAAAGGTTCTTAGCAACCTCTCCAGCTATATATTTACTCCATTACTGTTGTTGCTGTTGTTCTTATCTGAGTAACAAATTGCATTGCTTCTAACGTCACAGAGACCTTCCAGAGCAAGCTTTGCTGCTTTCTCCACTCTACCTAAGAGAAGAAGAAGGAGAAGGAGATGGCTTCCTTTTCTATGGAAGACTTTGTAGGCAATGGAGTTCTGAAAGAGCTGCTCCCGAAGCTGTTGGAAGAAGGATGGGATGATGTGCCAACTTTGAAAATTATGGACGCTGAGGACATGGATGAAATGAACCTGACAAGGAGACAAAAGGTACACTCAATCGATTCTAGAGGTAATTATCTTTCTGAAAATAATCAAATTGATGAATTGAACCTCAAATTTTTGTTCAACTCTTGCTCTTTAGGATGCTTTTGAGATAAGAACATACCTGCATGATCGCGCCCTGATGAACTATGGAGACAGACTAGAAGCCTCTGGGAAAGGTTTGCCAGAACTTCTTGCCATCAGTAATGCCGATCTGGCATCACAGTATGGGATGAAAAGAGGTCATGTAGCTCGTTTCTTGGACAGAACCACTGCTTGTACAGAACCTGTGAACAAATCAGAAGTCTTTTCCATTAGAAAACCTCCAACAACATCAAGAAGCGACAGCCTTATCAAAAGTTTTGGGTCTACCACCTCAAGAAAGATGGCCAGTGTATCAAGATATTCTGCAGCAACCATGATGACTTATGACAAATCCATAGAACAGTCGCTGGCTGATTTCAAGATCAAAGATGGGCACGTCTTTAAAGGGGTGATTTCTGCAGGTCCCGCTGAGCCTCGAGCATGTGGCTGTATAGCTGCTCCGCCGGTAGTTGACCAGGTTGCTCCTTATGCAACCATTGAAAACATAACTGTTCAGAAGCTGACTCCCGAGTATAAGATTGGGATGGAGCGCTTGCTGAAAACCAAGGGACCTCCAATGAAGGCTTCAGAATTGTGGCGTGACAAACCAGCGGTTATCCTCTGTATCAGACGACCCGGGTAAGCAAATTAAAGGGTCAACTTAACATTTAAGAATAACCTTCTGTGAATGCAAGTACCTTCAGTTGTTCTAGTCAATTCACAAATGTTCATATGTATTAAGAAAATACGAATGAAGCATGGTTTAGATAAGAAGTGAACCTATGCAAATCTAATGGCAGTAGACAATTATGCCATGTTACCATGATAGTTGTAGTATTCACATTATTCCCCTGTGCAATTTCTGTTGAGGACAGGTGCATCATGTGCAGAGCCGAAGCTCATCAGCTTTATGCTAGAAAACCCTTATTTGACGCAATGGGAGTTCAACTGTATGCAGTTCTTCACGAGCACATAGAGTCGGAGGTGCATACCGAATAATGAACTTTTTTAGTTTATCATCTGTTCTTCCTCTAATGTAACATTGATGTTGTGAAGGTACAAGACTTCTGGCCGCGGTATTGGGGTGGTGTTGTACTTTTCGATCGAGGTATGGACTTTTTCAAGGCTCTTGGTGGTGGAAACCTGCTCAAGGACAAGTTCATATCAGGCTTTCTTTTCAACCCTCGAGCAATTGCTAATTACAGACGGGCCAAATCCCTGGGATTGGACCAAAACTTCACTGGCGAAGGTGAGATCAAAGGTGGACTTTTCATAGTAGGAAGGAAGAGGTCTGGCATTGCTTACCAGTTTGTTGAGAGGAACTTTGGTGACTGGGCTCCTATGGCAGAAGTAATTGAGATCTGCAGAGAGTTGCAGGTAATCTTGATTTCCTTTTGGTTCCCATAAAGTTGAAGATAGTTATCCAATGTGCCTTCCACTTTAACTTGTTCTTTTCCAACCTGATGCAGAACCAGCAGCAAGAGCAAGGAGAGTCAATCAAATCGTCACAGGACTATGCTTGATGCGATCAATTATTGCATATGTAATCAAAGGTCCCCTCATGTATTACTGTTGCATGGGGTTGAACAATAGTAATATTTCTAGCCTTTGCGGGTTTGTTGTTTCAATTAGCACTGTTGTTCCGACTAGTTTTGAGTCAGGAAGAATCCTCTCAGACAATCAGCCAGAAATTTTAAGGAACCGTTTCCTACAAAGACGCCTATACAACGAGGAATAGGATAATGTACTGCTTTTAATTACTATTTTTCCAGGATTTTATAACTGAAAAAAAAGCTTCATTTGCTACCTATTCTTGGTAGTCGTAGAAAATATTTCAGACTTTGCCAAGAAGCTGTTCCTACATGCCCTATGCATCTTATCAAAGATGTTTAAGATAGACATGAAAATAAAAACATCAGTGTTGCGGACTTGCCAATTGATCATATGAAATTTGGACGTGGAACAGAATGGTTTACACAAATGCGAGTTTCATTTGATAAAACTGTCATCTAGTCCCGACACAGGTTTCTGTACTTCATTTTATTGCAAATGCAATTGTGTTATATCCAATGCATTCAAAAAGGCTTTTAAGCTTTAAACATTACAAATATTGTAATCTTTGTTCTAAAACTTTTTTGCACCAAAAGGCCAAGTAGAAGTGCTCAAGCACAGTACAAGTCTTAGAGACTAGCTTTTAAATCGTTTTTTAGGCTTTTGATACAATGCATTTTAAGATCAGATTGGATCGTGATTGAGTTGGTTTTGCTGGCCAAGAAAGAAGTAAATGGCATAGTTTTTATCAAGTCGAGTTGTCCTTTCGACCTATCCTTTTACGAATCTTTATTCTCCGATTCATTTTGCTTCTACCTAGAAGCAAGACTTCGATTGCATTGGCTATACCCACCCATGCCACTAAGCACTTGCCATAAAGTTAAATACAGCCTCCTATATAACAGAGGAAGGGATAAGAGTTCTAAAAACCAAATCAGAGAGGTATTAGGAGTTAGGTTTTATCACCATCTGTAGCTGAACGGACTGCTCCATGATAACTTTGACGATCCTTTTGGAGTAAGATAATTCCTTTTGCGGTGCTAATTCAATCTAGGAAAATACTAGTTCTGAAGTCACACATATAGTCACAATTTTGGATAATGAAAGAACCCTTACCAAAAGTCCCAACAAGAGCAAGCTTCATCCTCAAACAAATGGAACCTGGCTGCATCTCAAACAAGGATCGCCCTCAGAGTTATCTTTGAGATGTATTTAGTAACATTATCAGAATCCTTGCATACCCTCAAATTTTTAACTACTCTTATAGGACAATGACGAGGAATGAATATCAATCCGAAGGCAATAGTCAACCTCTCACTATGGTGGCCAAGCATCTTTATTTTCTCAGATTCCTCAACATCATGTAGAACTGAACGGGCATTCAAAATACTGACACCCTGTTTCCACTAGTCCTGCTCTACTACAAGCTCAAAGAACCCCAATGAATGTAATTGAATCGGGTCTTAGGCCTTGGGCCAACATCTTCTTAAATAATTGGATAGTCTTATCAGCATTTCCAAATTGTGCACATCCTGAAACCAATGTAGTCCAAGAAACATCATCCCTGAACACCATCTCATCGACAGCTGACTGCATACTCAACACTTCCGCATTTACCATACAGTGTAATGAGTGCATTGGATACAGTAATAAAAGAAATCAAACTAGTTATTAGGGCTTGTGCATGGAATTGAGTTCCTTCTTCTAAGCCTGCCAAGTTCGCACATGAACTGATCATGCTACCAAAAGTAAAATCATCAGGCTCAATCCCATTTTTCTGCATGTCGGAGCAACTCCTGTGCCGCACAGAATCCATTCTGCCCATAGCCCACCAGCATTGTTGTCCATGATACAACATTCCTGTGCCGCATTCTCATAAAAACTGCTTCAGCATATTGTACTTTTTTACATTTGCAGTACATATCCAGCAGAGCACTACCCACACAGACATTATCTTTATAATCATTCTTGATGATAAAAACATGAACTTGTTGCCCTCCTCCATCTTCAAGGAGCTTTAGTCCTCCACATGCAGTCAGTACACTACTGAAAGTATATTGATCCATCACCACCCGGCTAGTCTCACCTCCTGATATAAACTAAGGGCATCTCAGTCTAATCCATTATGTACAAAACCAGTTATCATTGTCGTCCAGGTGATTGAATCTCTTTCCTTCATACTGTCAAAGAGATACTTAGCACCCTCCACCAGACCATGACGTAAAAGTCCCGTAATCAGTGTATTTACACATTACAAGATTCCTTTGGGGAATTTCATCGAATGCTTTCACTGCCTCATGAACCGACCCTATTTTAGAATACATATCGACCAATGAACTTCCAACCACCACACAAGCCTTGAACCCAAATTTCAGAATATGCCCATGAATCGCCCTGCCCAAGTCGACTAGTCCATCATTAGACGACAACATTAGAAAGGTGGAAAATGTAATTTGATTCAAATTAACAGATCCTTCCCCAAGCATCATGCTATAAACCCGGATAGCTTCAGCACCCGACCGATGAGCCGCATACCCGGCCGAAAGCGAAGTCCTGGAGACCCCATCTCTGCTAAACATGTCTTGCATTCTTGAGAGGTAACCAGACTTGGAGTAAGAAGAAAGAAGGGTGTTCCAATAGAAAGGATTTTGTTGGGCCATTTTATCGAACACGTTACGGGCGTACAATGGATTGCGCAGGTAGCCATACGCATTAATCAGTTTGTTGGAGAGGAACGGCTCGGGATAGGATAAAGTCTTCAGGATATGGCAATGGAACTTCTTGATCTAGGTCTGGCTCCGGGTTTCGCAGCACGGCTTGACAAAGAAAGAGTACTGGCTAGAAGAAGCCATAGAAAATTTTGCTTGTTTGTTGGCGGGAAAGGAAGGATAGAAGTTTGTTGGAGGGAAAGGAAGGATAAAAGTAGAGTAGAATAGAATACTTGCGATGGGCAAAGTTCAACTCTCCCGCTCCCATCATGTAACATCTGAAATTGAAGAAAGTGAAAATAAACAAGAGATAAGTAAAACTCCAAGAAGTAAAATTCCAACCGAATCTGTGGTTGCTGGCGGAACACTACACATAGGATCGGTTAGTGTGATTACCCCTTAAAATGGTCTGATTTTCGACACTCATCTTCTTTACCATCCATTCTCACTTCTATTAATCTAATGGTATGAATTTAACCATTGGTAATTTGTAATTAATGATCCCAACATACATTGGAAAGGAAAAGAAGCAGTTCCAAAACATAATTTAAAATTCATTTATGCTTCCCCTTTTTATGTGAGAGATACTAATTAACGTCTTAACTTTTTTAAATTTGTCGCACTAACTAAGTAATCTGACGATTTTGCCCCAAAATAATTTCTAATCTCTAAATCTCGCCCTCGAATTTTTCTCCCTCTCCGTCGTTTGCCCTGGGAGTTGCCGTCGTTTGCTGTCGCAACTTTGTTCTCTTCCCCCTCTCAGCAGATAGTCTTCTCCATCTTCTTCCCCTCTCGGTCAAGCTTTAATTCCCATCACTTTCCGCCCTTCGATTCTTTTCGCTCTTCTTGTTTCGATTTCGGGAAAAACACTTGGCTTTCTCTATCTGATTATTTGGAGGGGACAAAGAGGTGGTCGACCTCAAGTTCACGGCGGCGGCAGAGCGACGACATAGGAGGTGGATGTCGTCGAATCCCTTCCTCCACCTCGAGTTTGCAGCGATAGAGGAGGTGGGCGTCATCGAATCCCTTTTTCCTCATCGAGTTCGCGGCGGCGGCAGTGCGACGGCAGAGGAGGTGGGTGGCGTTGATTGCCTTCTTCCTCCTCGAGTTTCGGCAGTAGCAGTAGGCGGGGAATTGGCCGGCGTGGGTTCTTTCTTTCTTTTCTTCTTCCACGGGCAGAACAATCAAGGGAGATGGGGAAAATTAGGGATTGGGGTGCTGTTGTTTTAGTGATGGGGTAATATCGTCTATTAGGTAAGGTTAGGGCATTCAATTTAAAAAAGTTAGGGCGTTAAATAGGAATTTAGTTTTATGTCACTTTTTCTTCTCATTCTCTCTCTCTTTAGAAACCATAAACCCTCCCACACCATCTCTACCAGAACCGTCCCCGGCTGTAACCCTTCTCCGTCGTCGCATCTAATCATTATCCTTGTCGTAAGCCATCCTCTCCTTAACAACAACGGTCGGCCCATTCCTCTCATCGACTGTCCTCCGTCTTCCATCCCAAACCCTCAACTTCAAACCTGATTTGTCTTTTTTTTTCTGCTGCATTAATCGTTTCCCATCGACAACCGTCTATCTGCGGAAGAGCTTCGATAATCCGATAGTGGTGACGCCAGGATTTGCCTAAGGTGAGATAATTCTCCTTTAACAAACACAATTCATATATTTATTGGTCTCCTTCAGTATAGTATATCACGACAGTTGTAGTTTTGTAAAAATTTCTTTCTTGATAGGTCGAATTCGACTCAGCCACATAATGTGTCTATCACTGCAGTGGTAGATCTATCATTGCAGTGGTAAATCAATCGTTGCAGAGGTAGATTTATCACTGCAGTGGTAGACCTATCACTGCAATGACATAGTGTGTCTATCGCTGTAGTGGTAGATATGTCACTGCAGTGGTAGATCTCTCATTGAAATGGTAGATCTATCACTACAGTGGTAGTTCGTTGTAATGTTTTTGTTTGTAGAGCTATCACTGTATTGGTACTGACAAAATCATTATTGATCTCATGTTCTATCACTGAATTGATAATTCTGATTATTGTGGTACCAATGGCAGCAGGAATGGCAAGGATGAAGAGACTGCATCATGCGGTTCCAACAGGGAAGAGGCTTGCAAGCTATGTTTCTAGGGTAGAAGTTAGGGTAGGTCAGAATCCTTCCTCGAGTAAGGGTACCAGCAAGAAGCGGCGTCGTGAGAGCCGGGATAAGGACAACAAGATAGAGGAAGAGAAAATGTATTGATGATGTTAGCGGCAAGAAGTGCATCCCACAAACAATTTCTTAGCGACTTCAATTTTATTAGTTACATTTGCTGGATATTTTATAATTGTTGGCATTTCCCTTTTTTATAACACATTGTACTGCACGGTTAGTGGTAATACTAATGAGAAGTTGCTTGTTTGTTTACGTATCAGATTGGTTGTACATGTATCAGTTCAGTGATACATGTAGAAGTGTAGTGGTATGTGTATAAGTTCACTGGTATATATATTAGTTCAGTGATACATGTACCATTTCAATGACATAACTCCAAAGTGTATCTAACACTACAATGGGAACATTTAGGATGAGTTTCAATTTTGTTAATGGTACAAGTAGAAAAGTTCTAATACTGCAAGTGGGTGGTCACATTTTGGTGTGGAAAGTATGACTTGAATAATTGCACTGGTACTTGTATCAGCCTAGTGGTACATGTACCACTTCAATGATACATGTCAGTATAATGGTATATGTACCACAACAGTGGTACATATTCATGGCAGTGTCGTCGTTTGCCAGACGCTATATGGTTACACTTCATGACAAGGAGCGACAAAAAATGACAAGTAGTTCAAAGGAGAGAAAGGCTATCTTGATTTTCCGTTATTTAAACCTCCCACAAACAATTTCATAGTGACTTCATGTTTATTTGTTGTATTGGTTGGATATTTTATTGTTGTTGGCATTTTCCTTTTTTGATAACACATTCTACTCCACAGTTAGTGATGATACTAATGGGAAGTTGTTGGTTTGTTTACATATCAGATTGGTTGTACATATATATGTTCAGTGGTACATGTATCAATTCACTGGTATATCAGTTCAGTTATACATGTACCATTTCAATGGTACCACTCCAAAGTCTATCGAACACTGCAATGGGAACATTTAGGATGAGTTTCGATTTTGCTAATGGTACAAGTTCAATATATCTAACACTACAAGTGGGTTGTCATATTTTGGTGTTGAAAGTATGGCTTGAATAGTTGCACTCGTACTAGTATCAGATCTGTGGTACATGTTCACGGCAGTGCCGACGTCTCCCAGACGTTGTAGAGTTGAACTTCACTACAAGTAGTGGTAAGTAACAACCTGCCGCCGCCCTTCATGTTCTTCTTCATCTCCGGCTGGTTCTCCGCCGACAGGAAAATCCATGTATTTTCTTCATCTCTGGCGGGTTCTCTGCCTCCTTTTATGTTCTTAACGACCCGCCGCCGTCCTTCATGTTCTTCTTCATCCCCTATATCTCGTCCTCTGTTGATGATCAACCCACCACGCACGTCAGAGGTGATCCCATCGTGGCGATAGCCGATGGTTTCTGGTCGCCATTGATTTCTACAGAGGAAAGGGCCATCGTCAAAATCTGCAAAGGAGAGGGATGTGTTGCTATTTTACGGGAGGGAATATGGTAAAGTTGAAAAGACACTTTCCCCATCCCACAATATTGCTGCTTCCCTACTCATAATTATTATCACAATTAATGTTTTCCCAATTTACAAGATTACAGACAATAAAATAAATAACAACTTCCATTAATACAACTTGCCAAATGATTGAATGGAAAAGTGACCAATCAAAAATAGGGTGTCAAAAAGCAGACCCTTTACGGGGTTAGCATAGTATCCGACCCCCTACACATGGGGTTCAAGATACGGTGTGCACTAATAAGTAATTAAATCTGGATTTTCATTAAGAAAATCCAGATATAAGGGTAGAGAATTAAAGTCATTTTTATTTTCTTTTGTTTTCTTAATCGGCTCTTATTTTCTTCGTTCTCACTCGGATTTCAATTTTTTGCACAGATAGAACGAGTTCGTTGTTCTCTACAAAATGAAATCCATTTTCAACATTTTATGAGAAAAAATATTATTGCCTCTCGTTACCAACTGCATACCATATGGTATCTTCTTCGTTTTTATTTCGTTTTTGAAAATTTTTGCACAAAAAGAACGAGTTCATCATGATCTATTGGATCTACAAATTTCTGGGTGAATAAAATACATGACCAAAAAATACCACACAATACCACCCTGGTACAGGGTGGTATCTTGTGGTACACAATGTAGAAAGTCATAAATAACAGTTAGTATACTTCTACTATCATGTTTTCAACCATCCTACAATCTTGGTTTGTTCGTACCAACGTGATACGCTTTTCATACCATAGGTATGCTCTTATTTCAATACCAGTCAATACAATATGGTATAGACTAGGGGTGGGCATTTGGTAGGTTCAAATTCGACCGAATCAAAATTATGAATACCGGGTATCCGAATTCTTCCAAACCTCAAATCGAATTTGAGCCAAATTATAATTTGATTCGATCGTTTTAAACCAAATTATAATTCGGTTTGGTTTGGTTTTTCACATAAAACCGAATTTGTGAAGCTACTAGTATCTTCTCATTTTTAAATTATGTTTTACCCCTAATATAAACGATAAATATGCAATTATATGCATCATCAATGATGAAATCAACACTTAAGTCATAAAATATTTCAAATATTTAAGTCTAAAAACAACTACAAAGATAAAAATCCAACATTTGGAGCTTGCAGTTATAGTATTACGGTTTTTCGGTCGGAAATTTGGTTCAGTTGAATGAACCCTGATTTTCGAAGTATCCATATTTTCCTTCCGAATTCCGAACCAAATAGCATTAATTTGGTTTTGGTTCAGTTTTGGTTCGGTTCGAGCACAATTAATCTGATCTAACTCTGCAAAAAAAAAAACAAATTAATTTTGACTTAAAACGAATGAGAAATCACCGTTAAACATTGAGGAGGAAAAATTAAAGGCTTTTCAGGAGAGAGAAGGGGAGCTGATGTGGCGGATTTTTATGGGGTTATGCATAATTATTGACCACAAGGTTTAG